GCAGGGGGCCCAGCGGCGACCACGCGCGCCGCAGTCCCTTCTGGAGGCTCTGGGTACTGCCCCTGCCACTGCAAAGAGCGAGGGGCCCAGCGGCGACCACGCGCGCCGCAGGCCCTTCTGGAGGCTCTGGGTACTGCGCCTGCCAGTGGGGTGAGTGAGTGAGTGAGTGAGTGAGCGAGCGAGCGAGCGAGTGAGTGAGTGAGTGAGTGAGTGGTGAGATCTTGTGTTGAGTGAGTGAGTGAGTGAGTGAGTGATGTGAATGAGTGAGTGAGTGAGTGAGTGAGTGATGTGAGTGATGTGAGTGATGTGAGTGATGTGAGTGAGTGAGTGAGTGAGTGAGTGAGTGAGTGGAGTGAGTGAGTGGACGGCGGGAAGGAGCGAGGGACGGAGGGAGGGACGGGCGGGCGGGCGGATGCGGGCGGGATGGCAGCCAACAAAACTAGAACCCCACACAGAGATGTGGGGAATAATTCCCCAAAAGGTTTAGGGCTTCTCAATTCTTTTCTTAAGATATGTCCGCCTGCTCTGTACGGCTGTGTCCGTCTCTGCCTTGCAACCCTTTACATTTGTCTCCCAGCTCTGGGCTGCTGTGGCCGCCTCTGCCTTGCGCAATCCTTTGTCCAAGCTCTAGTTTCGATGTTGAAGAACACAAACTGTTTGGGGTCTACGGTGGTGTAATTTTTCTCTGCAAATTGGTCGACGGTGAGTAATTAGAAACATTGGCGTCCACATTTTTGCAACCTCTCCCCTCCTGTGAACGTCTTCGGTTGCAGGCTCCCTATCTTTGGTAAGACCTGGGTCCCGAGAAAAGGATGAACTGACACTGGGTAAGACCTGGGTAAGACCTGGGTACCAACACTTAAAGACTTACACCTGGTTACTTGTTGATCTCATGTTTTGTTGGGCCCCTCAGGCTGGGACTTGGTTCAGCTGCCGAAGTTTCTCAGCAAAAGACTAGTTTCTGTCAACTTCCTGAATTCCTTCCAGCCAAGCTGGCTGCCATGTGGCATCATCCCAGGATGAAGAGAAACTGAACCACGCCTGATCTTTCTTTTATGTACATATATATATATATATATTATATAATAAATGATACAGTACATACGAGATAACAAAATATGATATGACATTATACTGCTTTAAGATTACGTATCTTAGTACATCCTGTTTCTTTCTTTTTCTGCTCAGGAAGAACGTGATTCGCCGGAAGCCGGGTACACGTCAACGGTGATTCAAAGATCTGCAGGTTTGGCCGCTACCAGTCGGAGTTCTTCCAGCGGACCTACGACTTTGACCGACGGGTTCGGAGGGCCCGGTGTGACCGATGAGGGTTCGGAGGGCGCGTGAGGGAGCGGGAGACATGTGACAGATGTTTTGGTCGATGATTCCTGATGAAGACAACAAAGAAGTCAGTCTTCCTGGGTTTTTGCATGGTTTCAGAGAAAGATTTGTCTCTACATTATATCAATCCCGAATGATTTGTTTGATCTTGACATAAGAGATCAGTCTACAGCGGTATAGACTTCAGTTGTCACAGGACAAGATGTGTGAATTGGCCTGTGATCGTAGTGGTTTAACTGCTTCTTTCGATCCTTTCAGACCAAACGTCCGAAAAGTGCCAGACGGAGCGGACGTGGTTTTCTTTTTGAGATCGGTTTTGACACGTTGACTCAAAACGGAGCGGACGCTCGGAGCGGATGCTCAAAACGGACACCCGTAGCTTGCGTGCCAAGCAACCTTCCAGAACCCGCCGGGACCGTTTTGGTGGACGGTTTTCTTCTCTTCCGCCACTGAGGACCGGAAGATCCAGTTCTTGGAGAGCAGCTTGGGTCGCTTCATTCGCTCTGTTGGGTGGGTAGCTTTTGATGGCTGGGCAAGAACTCAGAGATGCACAGATGTTTTGTGGAAAAGGAGGTGGAGGATGAGGGAAGGACCAGCGGAGCAGTTCTTTTCCAAAGTGGACAAGTAGTGCAAGTGGAGTGAGAGGAGTCACCCTCAGTGGATGAAGGCCGCTCCACTGATGGAATCAGCAGACGACCTGGTGCTATGTGCCATGGCGACATATCTGTAGTAGAGAATGTAGACGTTAAACTGAACGGCACAGTCTTTTGTTGTTTTTGCCCATCTTGAGGAAGCCTTTTGAGTTCTTTTTAAACATCCAGCAAAAGTTTGTGAGGAAAAATGCGGGGCTAACATCAACCCCCGAACACCATTAGTTTGCAGAGGGACCGTGGAAAGGATCCGGACCTTTGCTTGGGGAAACATGCCCCTTGACCTGACCACCGGACCATATGTGTGGTACCGTTTCTGGCCTCATCCTCGAGTAGGCAGAACTTTGCATCACGGGCTTCTTTGACCTGCTTCTGCAGTTTTTTCAGGTGCATTGCAGTGTCCACGTCACTCAGCTCCGGGGACACTTCTTACTCTTGACCCAAGCTGTTCTTTCATGAAGTTGTTGTGCCCCAAATCCTCAAGTTCGTCGGTATTGTCCTTGACCCCACCATCGGTTGAGTCTTCGTCAACCCCGCACATGAGTGAATCTCTGATGGGCATGTGATTTTTGGCCTGGTTGCTCCATCAAAAGAACCAAACAAAACCACTGAACCCCTGGCACGGATCCATCCCCAAAAGACCAGACGTCCGGGGTACCTCCTGCGGATCCAGTCTACCTACTTCTTTTCGTTCCGCATTTGCCCAGAACCGACTTCTTTGGTTCCAAATGCCCATACCGACCGTTCCTTCTTCCGCGGAGCCCCACGGTTTCTGGCGGAGTTTTGCCACCGAGGCGGCCAAGTGACCTTGCAAAGCCTCCGCGCCTTCGTTGCCGAGATCCGAGCGGCGCCGCTCTTCTACGTGCAGGCCGGGTGTGGAACCTGGAAGAACGGGCGCGTGGCGAAGAGAGAACGGCCGTGCCGCGGTGAGGCGCGGCGTTTTCAGTTTGGAGATCCTCCTTTGTACTCCCCAAATTAAATCCTGTAGGTCCACTACATTTTTTGAAATTTTCAAAACAAAAAATATAGTTGTGTTGAGACTATATCAGACGTTAGACCCCAGGAAATAATTTCAAACATGATCTCTATGTTGGGGGGGGGGGGGGTCAGGGGACAGCATTTAATTGTGTCGAAGAAAAGTTGTTTTGGAGGAGGAGGGGGGTTAGGGGACAGGATTTAATTTTGAAGTGTTTAGAGGATATGGCCAGATGATGCCAGATGGGGGATCAGGAAGAAAAGTATTTGAGAACATTTGAAAACAGATCGAAAAAGACACATACTACGCCAACGCCAAACATGACAGAAGATGAGACAATAGAAACTTGCCAGTCTATGACCACCCACCTGTACAACATTATTTCCAAATAACTTTGAGTATAGGAGGACCCACCTCGCTATGTACCAAAGCGCTGTATGGGGGGCTGACCATGTTCATTGACGTGGCCTATCTTCAAGGAAGACACCTCTAGAATTAATTACAAACATTTCCAGACACAACCCCCCCCCCAGAAACAGCCCCAATGTGTCCAAACATGAAGTGCCAAACAATTTTTGTCCATGGGGGCTGACCATGGTCATTGACATGGCCTATCTTCAAGGAAGACACCCCTGGAAATAAATTGCAAACATTTCCAGACACAACCCCCTACCCCAGAAACAGCCCCAATGACTCACAAAGTCCAAACATGAAGTGCCAAACAATTTTTGTCCATGGGGGCTGACCATGTTCATTGACGTGACCTATCTTCAAGGAAGACACCCCTGGAAATAAATTACAAACATTTCCAGACACAACCCCCAACCCCAGAAACAGCCCAAATGATTCACAAAGTCCAAACATGAAGTGTCAAACAATTTTTGTCCATGGGGGCTGACCATGTTCATTGACGTGACCTATCTTCAAGGAAGACACCTCTGGAAATAAATTACAAACATTTCCAGACACAACCCTCCCCAGAAACAACCCAAATGATTCACAAGGTCCAAACATGAAGTGTCAAACAATTTTTGTCCAGGGGGGCTGACCATGGTCATTGACATGGCCTATCTTCAAGGAAGACACCCCTGGAAATAAATTACAAACATT